GATTTATATATGTTTAGTCCGCTCAGGAAAATTGGGATTAGAAGCAATTTGCATGGCAGTCTGATTGTCACAAAAAAGAACAGCAGGAGAGGCCACTTGTATCTAATAGTCCTTCAACAACTGATTAATCCAAATAACTTCACTAATAGTGGCAGCAAGTGCTCTATATTCTACTTCAGCAGATGAACGAGATACGGTGGCTTATCTCTTAGCTTTCTAAGAAATCAAAGAATCTCCAATGAAAATGCAAAAACCTGTTGTGGACTTTCTTGTGTCAGCACATAAACCCTAATCTGCATTAGAAAATGCTTGTAGTTTGATGGCTAGGATAGACTCTGAAAATGCTTTTGATGTGGAAGAAGATGAAGCCGAAAAGAATAGGCCTTGACCAGGGCTATTCTTCAAGTAATGTAGAAGAAGATGCACTCCTTTGAGGTGTGGCAATTTGGGCTGTGATAGGAATTGACTCAATTTGTGGACAACATAAGTAATATCAAGACGAGAAATTGTCTAAGTAAATTAGTCGATCAATTAGTTTTCTGTAATGAGAAGTATCTGGCGAAAGATCCCCTTCAAGCATATTGGGAGATACTTTTGGATCCATGGGAATATTAAGGGGTTTACAATCCAAGTAACCGGAATCTTCAAGAAGTTGTAAGGCATAATGCCTATAAGAAATCACTATTCCTGAGTTGGAACGAGCAATCTCAATACCTAGAAAATACTTTAAAGATCCCAGATCTATCGACTTGAATTGAGAATGTAAGAATTCCTTCAAAAAATCAATAGCTTGTACATTTGGACCGATTATGACTATGTTATTAACATATATCAGTAATGCCACAAAATTATCTCCAGAACCTTTTGTGAATAATGAATAATCAGCTTTAGATTGATTGAAGCCAAATTGAACAAATGCCTCGGAAAAGTTTGAATTCAATTGTCTTGACGCTTGCCTAAGTCCGTAGATAGACTTGTGTAATTTGTAGACCAATTCTCCCCCTGTTTGGTATTGTTGTGAACTTCATATCCAATAGGAAGATCCATATAAACTTCCTCAAATAAAGCACCATTCAAAAAAGCATTGTTAACATCTAGCTGGACTAAGTGCCAATTTTGACTAGCTGCAAGTGCCAACAAAACTTTAACAGCGACTATTTTTGCCATCGGAGAAAAGGTGTCGAAATAATCGATGCCTTGTTGTTGTGTGTAGCATTTTGCAACAAGACGTGCTTTATGCCTTTCAACTGAACCATATCCACCAATAGCCTACAACATGTTTTCCTTGTAGCAAAGTGACAACAGACCAAGTATTGTTAAGTTTCATAGCTACTAACTTAAGTTTCATTGCTGCACGCCATTGAGGATATTTGATAGCTTGATGGAAGAATTCTGGCTTGTATTGTGAAGAGACGTTCAATACCAATTGCTTGTGGGATGGGGATAAGGCTATATAAGATATGAAGTTCCCAATCTGATAAGGTGACTTAGTGGAGAAACTGGGATTGTGATTGAACAAGTTACAGTGAAAATCCTTGAGATAAGTTGGAGGTTTAACGATCCTTTGTGACTTTCGAATGTCAACAGCAGGTGTGATATCTAAGGGATGATCATCAGACTGATCATGTGTATCGCCATTAGGGATAGCATCAATAGATTGTAATTTTGGGATAGATAATTCCGTCTTGTGAGTTTTAGTAGATGGGACAGAAGTAGGTGTATGTTTAGAAGTATCGTTACAAGCATCTTGATGGGGATTTAATGAAGGAACATGTAAAACCAAATCAGGGAATTGATCAATAAGCCGCTCTGCCTTTACAACTATTTGAAAATGATAAATTTCCTCATGAAAAACATCTCTCGATGTGAATACTTGTTTGGAAACAACATCATATAATTTGTATCCCTCGACTCTAGGTGGATAACCTAGAAAAACACACATTTTAGCTCGAGCCTGGAATTTATTTCTATGGGTTTAATTAAAGTGGATGCAAAGGCCAAACATCCAAAGATTCTGAGATAGGAATAATCTGCAGATTTATTGTGTGAGACTTCATAAGGCGTTTTGTGTTTCAATAGCTAAGAAGGGGTTCTATTAATTAGGAACGTGGCTGTTAAGACACATTCTGTCCAGAACTTGATTGGAACATGGAATTGAAAATATAGAGCCCTTGCCATATTTAGAAGATGTTGATGTTTGCGCTCCACAACTGAGTTTTGATGTGCTCTTTCAACATAGCTAAATTGATGCAATACTCATTTTTCAACAAAATACTCGGTGAATGCGAGTTTTGGAGCGTAGTCTGATCTAAACAACTTTATCTTAGCATTAAATTGAGTTGCCACCATGTTAAAGAATTTAGAAACAACATTGGTTGCATCAGATTTGTGCCTTAATAGGTAAACCCATGTGAATCTAGAGCAATCATCAACCAAGGTTAAAAAGTATTTATTTCCTGTGTATGAAGGAATGGAATGAGGTTCCCAAATGTTACAGTGTACAATGTCAAATGGAGAGCTCAAAAGATGGTTATTTGATTCAACTGATAACCTTATTTGTTTAGCAATAGGGCAAATGTAGTAAGGAATACTCTTAATATCACATATCGAATGAGTTTTCAAACTATCCAACCTTTTAAAAGAAAGGTGGCCAAGTCTATTATGTCAAACATGAATGGAAACATTATTTATATAAGCATTTGAAACTGAATTTAGAACTTTTGTATCAAGTACATATAGGTCTTGCACTCGATCACCTGTGCTAGTCATCTTCTTGGTGTTGGCTTCCTGAATAATGAAATGATCAGAAAAGAAACTGATGGTAATTTGCGAGTCATATGTTAGAGTACTGGCAGATAACAAGTTGAACTTGAATTGTAGTACAAACAGAACATTTCGAAGTGTAAAAGTTGAGCTTCATCTGACATCACCATGTAGTCTCACTTAAATTTGTGTGTGATTTGGTAAAGTGACAGTTGAATTGTCGATGACTCATTGCCATAGAGGCAGCAACAATAGAACATGCATGTCTATTAGCTCCTGAGTCTACAATCCAAATATCTTTGGATGAAAAGATAGGATGTACAGATACTGAAAAAACATATACCTACAGTATATGAAGTGATGGAATTGTCATGGTCATCAGCTGTGCTTGAACCTGATGCCAAGTGAGTGGATAGCATAGAAATTAGTTGTTGATACTGGTTGGAGCTTAAGTTCTGAACAAAACTTCCAAATCTTGATTGCTGATTATGTTGTCTGTCTTCATTCTGAGAAACAAAAGAAGTTGAAATCTGATTAATAGAATTAGAACCAGAAGAATTTGGAAGTTGTCCCTTTGTTTTGGTTTATAACCCAATGGATATCCATGCAGCTTATGGCACTTGTCAATGGAATGGCCATGGAAATTACAGTGAGTGCAAAACGTTCTCTCCTTCTTGCTATTTCCAGCATTTCCAATCCTTGAGCTGTTGTTATGAGTTCCAGAATTACCAGCTCCTTTGTTGTTTTCAGCTTTAAAGGCAAAGGCTATAGCTTCACTTGAATCAGATCTAGGTGTACTTACCTTCCTTTGACGTTTCTCTTGAGATATCAAGATAAACACTTTATTAATGTGAGGCATAGGATCCATGAGTAAGATTTGTACTCTCACTTGGGAGAATGAATCATGTAGTCCCATAAGAAATGATAATATATGCTCAATTTGGTAGTGATTGTTCAATTCTTTCACACCACCACAAGTACACTTCCTCCAGGTTCAGGTAGGTCGATAGTTACTTAATTCTTCCCAAATAGTCTCGAGTTTAGTGAAATAGACACTAACGTTACTCTGATCTTGAACAAGGTTTATCAACTCGCTATGTAATTGAAAATTACACCGTCCATTTTTCTGTTGAAATCCATTCTTAAGATCAATCGAGATTTCATAAGATGAAGTAGCATAGATCACACTAGCTAAAATTTCCTTTGATATCGAGTTCAAAATCCAAGAGATGACTGTTATTATTTCGAATCTAGAAATTAAGCAGATCAGAATTGGTACCTTTAGGTTTGGTTATGGATCCATCGATAAATCTAAGTTTAATTTTCATTGATAAAGCAATGGTCATTGCACGGCTCCAGGAGGCGTAGTTACCTCCTGTGAGTTGCTGAGAAACCAGGATTAAACATGGACTATTAGAATGGTGGAGAAAGTATGGACTTGAAGGTTCGTCAATAGCTGATTTGTTCAAGGGGGATCTTGCATCAAAATCATCTACGGACTGTGATGCCTCCATTTGAAGTTCAAACCAGAAATCAGAACGGCTGAATCGGTAAGCTAGGTGACGAAGAACTGAGGTGAATCAATGAAGAAGATGATGAATAAGAAAAACGTAGGAAGCTCTTTGCTCCGATAACATGTTAGATGCAGAAATGAAGAAGAAGAACAAGATTGGAGAAAAGAATCTCTTTTAGTCAACTTGCTGAAAACCACGTGTACACTTGCTATAAATAGCTTACAACTAGGAACCAGTTATGGAAAGCCAGCTAGAGCCAGCTGAGATTGAACTGACTAACCAACTAACTAACAAAACGGTTGATAACAGAATGTAAACTAACTATATACAAGAGCTAAAATCTTCTTTATATCATTGTCTCATTTGGTTTCTATATAATTGTCTAGGATGATGTTCTGTCTGATGAGTCATATTTTTGTCATCCTTAAATATTTATTCTGAATATATGGACTGGTAGCAAGAACAATATTCTTTCAGTGATTTAATCTCAAAAAATGTTTTTGTTGATTTTAGATAATCTTAGCTGTGTAGTGTGGTAGATTTTTTGGAGTGGATTAACCTGGTAACATATCTGCTGCACGAATAAATAAGACAAGCAACGAGTAGAAAAATTATGAATTTTTCTTTTCATATCATTGATTATTATGCAGTGAGAGAAGGAAAATATGATAGTGAAACATACACATTGTAGTCAATAATAGATAGTAGAACCATTATCTTTCCATGTCTCCTGCTTCATTAAATTTTTATACAGGTAAAGGCTTCCTTGGCTACAAGTCAATAACAATTCTCAGAATGGGATGGCTTAGCAAAATTTTTAAAGGTTCAAACCATAAACTTTCAGATGCTCGATATGGAACAGATACGGTGGGAAATTATCCATCAACTTCATGGGTAAGTTCTGTAACTTCTGTTGTTTGCATATTCAATATGTTTTTCAGAGAGCATTATCTCAATTTCTTTGAAGTCGAGGAGCATTCCTAAAATTCTGTTATAACCTGATTTCATAACCCCCCACTCACCCCTGGCGAAAGAAAAACACTAGACAAGAAATTTCTAATTTTTTTTGTTCGTTTTTCATCATCTTGGTGACTGATGTAAATTTATCTATGCTATGTTTGGTGGCTTCTTATTGGATTAATATAAACATAACAAAATACTGCACACGCTTTTCTAAATGTTATATTATATTCGGAATATACATGCTAACGTTTTGCTTATTTATTTCTTACACTGTCCTGAATTTTGTTTTGAAACTTGGTGTTGAATTAGAGGAATTCTTAAGGTCTCAGCATTGCTTATTTATTTTACAATTTTTGTTCTTATTCTGCAGTGCAGGATTAGTTGTTATTGGGCTGTTAGTTGAAAAGGCTGAGGGTTGAAGATGGGACAGATTTCTTTTACTTTTTGTTTGTTTTGTTTGGAGACAAACATTTACTATTGCATAATTTGTTGCTTGTATATATCTAATATTCCATTCTCCAGTTATCAATTATTTTCTTTAGAAAGCTTATTCATTATTGGCCTTTCTATATATATAGGATACAACTTCAGAGATTGAAGACATAGATCGTGCTATTGCATTATCGCTTTCAGAAGAAGATCAGAAGGGGAAAACTGTGATTAGTAAGTACTATGGTGTTCTCGTTGCATAATAACAAAATGCGAATACTTTGCTCACATTGCGTCATTTTGTGCACGTGTCCTGAAGAAACCTTCACCAGGAACATATTGATGTTCATCTTTAACTAAACTACAAGATCTACAATGCAATTTATTTATTTATTTTTACACATAATTGGGTATCAAATGAATATAGCTCTATTGGTCTTGACTATGATGCTCAAGTCTCAACCTTTCTGCAACTTGGAATTAAGTTTTGCTCTCTTTAATGATTCACTTAAAAATCATTTGCCTTGTATAATTTTGTATCAGTGTAATTTATATTTCCCTTATCATTTTTCTCTCCAAATGTATGTTTGTCATTTTTAGCTTGTTTGGAAGAGCTTAAAATCCAATTAAAATTGAAAATATAGTTGTCATTGGGTCCCACTCGTCTAATAAAAGTCAACAATAATGGTTAGTTTTTCAATTTTAATCCGATTTTAATCTCTACCAAACAAGCTCTTTGTATCAAGTAGGCTATTTTCTAAACAGTAACTTCTTGTTGGGTAGATAGTGAATACCAGTTGGAAGAAGATGAGCTACTTGCCAGAGCTCTTCAGGAGAGCTTGATTGTTGAGTCTCCACCTCAAAATGGAAATAGAAACAGCACTAGTGGAAGATATGACAATGGTCCAATAGGAAATGAAAACTTTTACCAACCTGTACCTTTTCCCTATTCAACCGGCTTCAGGTATGTAAACTTTTGATATTACAGGTTATAGCTATATTCAGTGATTATTTGTTCCAGGATCCTGATTGCTATGACCATCCTATACCATGTCATCCATGACCACGAGTTTGAATTCTGATTTCTGCTTTAGGGAACAAGTATCAAACTCAAAATATGCGTAGTTAATTTGGTTCTTGCTATGGCAAGACTTCTATTTATCTTCACTTTACGTTTTCTTCATTCTACAGTTTTAGATAAAAATGCACTTTGGTTTATAATTTAGACTTCGGCCAATATATTGTTTCACATCACATACTGACAAATTCAGAGATTGACTTGTGTATGTCTCTGTAAATTAAAATTGTTAGATATTTACTGTTCCAAAATGTCTATATCTCAATAACGTTGTTATATTTTGCTTGTGCACTGTAGGATTTGTGCTGGTTGTAACACTGAGATTGGTCAAGGGAGATTTTTGAGTTGTATGAGTGCAGTCTGGCATCCAGAATGTTTTAGATGCCATGCTTGCAAACATCCTATATATGATTATGAGGTAAAAAAGATTCTCTGTAGTCTGAGAGCATGTGGAATATTTTCTCTTTTCTTTTCTCTTTCTATTGTATGTATTAAAGTGTGTGCACGAAGGGGCGGGTGTGTATATGTGACACATACATATGTGTTTTCCTTCATATGATTTTTAACGTTCAACTACTTGGTGGTGTGTGTTTGAAAATAATGCTATATAGCAAAATATCATTTGATTTTACAGTGATGGATACAAATAATGTAAGCAAGTGTAAACTCTAGGAGTCTAGGTTGTTACTGCTCATTAGAAATAGAAAGGCATCAATGGTTTCTTTTTTCATATTTTGATATCCATCTGCTGCAGTTTTCTATGTCGGGGAGCTACCCTTATCACAAAGCATGCTATAAAGATTCTTATCACCCTAAATGTGATGTCTGCAAACACTTCGTAAGTATCTCTCTTATGGAATGTTTTAGTTCATTCTCTATCCTCTTGCATGATATCTTGAGTTTGTTGTTGACTTTCTGTGGAAAGGCCTAAATTTTCAGAAATTCTGTGCCTTCCTATCTACACATGATTTTAATGGCCATAAAATTTAGGAATTCTATAATTCCAATATGTTTGTGTTCCGGCTGAAGCATTTGGAAGCTAAAATGACTCAAGTGAACATGATAATTGCCTAGGCTACAGGCAAAAGACAACATGCACTGGCAAAAGTAATGCAATGATACATGCTTTTGCACATTTAGTTTATGGAGATAATTTATAAGGTTTTACTTAATCTGTTACCTTTGAAATTAATTTTACGATTCAGGGGACGATGGTGCATTGGAATGCATCTTGCAGCATGTCTTGCAAGATAAAAGATATTTTCTATAGGAATTTCTACCAGTAAATGAGAGAGTTCTGTTTTAGACAAATAAGAAAAAGTCCTGTATTCAATTGTTACGAAGATACGCGAAGTTTTAACTTGTGGCTTTACCAATTTCTTAGAGCTTGCTTATGTAATAGTTCTTAATAGATATTGCCTTATATTGGAGATATTTTTATCTCTGATGTTCGGATTCTTTGAAATGGACGAAATACTCGTATCTACACAACATGGATATGAGTATGGGATATGTGTCGGATCCTCCAAGTTTTAGCGAGACACTTTGCTGTTTCTGCTTCTTTCTAGTTTTAGCGGGACACTTTGCTGTTTCTGCTTCCTTCGTTTTTTGTTCTTTCCATTTTCTTCTTTTACGTTTTTGCTCTCTGTAAACCTAGCACCACCACTGAAAGGGTGGAGGAAGGCGACGGCACTAGGTTTTCCCTCCTTTTTCTTCTTCTTTCCCTTTCCTTCTTTTTTTCGTTCTTTTCCTCTTTGTATATGATGTAGGGCTATCTTTGTATGAAATGAAAATGGGTTCCATATAGTGGCTACTTAGTGTTCCAATAAGTCCAAATTGCAATTAAGTCTCTTTTTTAATTATATATATATAACATTTAGTAATTAATTTCCCGTAATTGAAAACTAAACCTCAAAATTCTATTTTATTTGTCTTAGCCCAATATTCAATACTCATTTCCTTCTTTGTGAACAATTGATTTTGGTCTATTTAAAATGATATCTTGAGTCATACCTACATACCTCCGTTCGAAATTTGGACTCTTTTTAGGCACGTCCCCGTATCCTATATTTTAGAAAATGAAATATCTGACATTTAGATACATACCAGTACCCGATACCCCTACTCGAGTCTGAGCATCATAGATTTTTATCATACGAAAATTCAGTATGGTGACACCTATATATTAGGTAAGATTTTGTCCGCCATTGCTTAAAACAAAAATAAAGATCAAGACCTTCATCAATTCTATTGTTTTAGACATCTTCTGACTGGTTGCTCCTTCCCCCTCACTGAGTCATATTTACTGTACTCAGGCATTTTATAGAACTTAGAGAATGAGAATCTCCAAATAAATGTTGCTTTAGAAAATTCAACAAAATCTGCTCTGAGTTTACAATTTATCAAGTCACCTTTAACAATCAGTATCCTTCCAAGCGGGTACTTTGTAGGATGGTACAGAATACTGATGCTTTTGGCAATTTACTTTAAATTACGTTTACTGAAAGGGAAAGGATTAATAACTGACACCAAGTGTATTAGGAATATGGCTTAGCCTGTTATTGTAGTATTTTTTTTCCTTTTAAATCATGCCTAGTTAAATTAGTACACTCCATATTGGCTGTCAATACAAACTATTTGTGGGTTCTCCCTGATCATACTGATTATTTTCTGGTTTGTTTTACCTTTGATAAGTACATGCTGAACTTCTCTAACTATTTGAACACTTGGTCCTCTTGGATCTAATTTGATTCTTTGCAATGCTTTTAATTCTCTTTCCTTCCTCCAGATTCCAACAAATGCAGCTGGTCTTATTGAATACAGGGCACATCCCTTTTGGTCCCAGAAATACTGTCCTAGTCACGAGCATGATGGAACTCCTCGGTGCTGTAGCTGTGAGCGAATGGAGGTAACTTGGAGCTGAACCAGCTCAAAATCTCTTCATTCTTGTCAATTGAAATCTGAATGGTTTTATGTTTGTACTCACTGTTAATTGGTCTGGATATTTTATTTGTTGAATGCAGCCAAGGGACACAAGATATGCTGCTCTTAATGATGGTCGGAAGCTCTGCTTGGAGTGCCTGGATTCTGCAGTTATGGATACCAATGGGTGTCAACCTCTTTATCTCGATATACAAGAATTCTATGAAGGTTTAAATATGAAAGTGAAACAACAAGTTCCATTACTTTTGGTTGAGAGGCAAGCACTAAATGAAGCCATGGATGGAGAGAGACATGTAAGAAAAAATTGTTAAAAGTTCAATCAAGAAAAGAAAGTTAAACTTATTTTGTTTTTCTATTATAAGTCATTTTCCCCCGAAGAAATATGATTATATTTGAGGCATTTACTTTTCACTTTTGGCCAGGGGCATCATCACATGCCTGAGACTCGAGGACTCTGTCTTTCTGAGGAACAAACTGTCAGTACGGTAAGGAACTTGGTTGCCATTTTTTATTTATTTAATCGTTTTCTTTTAAGAAATTTCTGTTTTGAAATATCATTTACTTTTGAGTTTGAAGTTTGTTGTTCATTTGCCATTGAGATTACCAGATATTGAGGCGACCAAGGATGGGAGCCGGAAATCGAGTCATGGACATGAGAACGGAACCTTATAAATTAACACGCCGTTGTGAAGTGACTGCAATTCTCATTTTATATGGTCTTCCTAGGTATTTTACACGTCTTTTTATGTTAGGCATTATTTTACATTTATGTTAGTTTTGCATCACAATTCCATTGATTGATTGTAACACTTGCAGGCTACTGACAGGATCAATTTTGGCTCATGAGATGATGCATGCTTGGCTGCGACTTAATGGTGCAATATTACTTCCTTCTATAATTTATCTTAATGTCTCATTATTTATCTGGAGCTTGAAAAATCGGGGTTGTTCTTTCTGGCACTGTAGTCTAGTCTAATTTCAGAAAGTGGCTTATTTGAGAATAAAAAGATAGGTGTTTGAACTGAATTAACATCACGAACATAGAGAAGATTTTATATGTGGAGACACTGGCAAAAAGAAAAAGGAATATGAATTTTATTACGCAATCTTATTAATATCACCGGAATTGTGTTTGAAAGCCAGGTGTTTTCCAGGTAGTACATTATTAGAGTGTGTTTGGTAGGGATTAAAATCGGATTAAAATTGAAAAATTAGCCGTTATTGTTGACTCTTATTAGACGATAAAAGACGAGTGAGACCTCCCAATAACGGCTATATTTTCAATTTTAATTGGATTTTTAGTGTTACCAAACAAGCTCTTAATAAGATGTGAAAACTATCCTTTTTTTTAACATATAAACATTTAACAAACATAATTTGGAAAACTAGCAATATTTTGCCAATAGACCTTTATTCGGTGCTCGTATCTTTAACTTATTTGTTATTTAAATCTAGTATTGTCTAATTCATCTTACCAAATATGTGTAGTTACTGTTTATTCCCTCCTTGTATGCCAGTATATTTGGAATACTCATTTTGCTGATACGTTTTCCATTTTCCAAAAGGTTATCAAATTCTCAATCAAGAGGTTGAAGAAGGTATCTGCCAGGTGCTTGCCAATATGTGGTTGGAATCCCAGATTATATCCATATCCGGCACTGATTATGCATCAACCTCATCCTTTTCCCCTGCTTTCTTGTCATCAACAGCGCAGGGGACAAGATCTCCTTTTGAGAGGAAACTTGGTGAGTTTTTCAAACACCAGATTGAATCGGACACATCAGTGGTGTATGGAAATGGTTTTAGAGTCGGTAACCGGGCAGTGCTCAAGTATGGCTTACAGAGGACCCTCGACCACATCAGGATGACAGGAACCTTTCCTTTCTAATATATTGAGGTCCATTTTTTGTCAGATGATAGCTTGGCATTGTCTTGTATTAGAATCTTGGATCATCCTATAGGAATTGTCTCAGTATAGAAGTTGTTGGGGAAAGATTGACGGAGTCAATTTTTATACCTTGTACATTTCATTTTATTACATGTACTGGTAGAAATCTATAAAATTGTATTCATTTTTTATTCTTCTTGTCAATTGTCGAAGCGATTTAGTAATGATATGGAGCTTTTGTGAGTTTTATTGATGTCCGCTTTTGTTGTTGATTCATTTATACCTAGTATATTTTATGGTTTTTTTCTCTCTCTCTAATACAAGGGTTTGTTGGCTAGTTGCTAGAGCAATTTTTGCTATACAATTGGTTGGATCTACCCTTAGTAGACAGGTGTTTGGTGGCCCAAAGATGATAATTCAAGAACCCTTTTATGTGGATTGAAGATTATCACCTGTGATTAAGAAATAACGAAGAAACTAGGAGATTCAGATAAGAAGCCACATAAAAATATTCCAAATTCGAGCTAGCTCACGCAGACTGAAGACTCTGTGCCCGAGTGAGAAGGTTCGACTGCAGGGGCAGGCTAACGCAAACACAGGCCTTTAGGCCATGTCTTTTATGTGCCAGGCCCGGCTCTAGACTTGAATGACTGTACATTGTAATACTGCTTAAGAGCGTGAAAAGTGATTTTAAAAATGAGAACATATATGACACTCATCAAACATGCATAAACTAATTTGCGAAATACATAGGATAAACAAAAATCTCTTCCCATGATTATGTCTCATGGCTCTCTTCACTCCCTGAGCAACTTCTTCAAATTCAATTGAATTTTCAGTAGACTCGACACTACCTCACCCATGTCCGGTCTATCGGTTGGATCTCGTGCCAAGCAACTTAAGCTTAACTTAACCACTTGAAAGGCATGTTCTATCCCACCATTTTCACCGAGGCCAGGCTCAATGAATTGAATCAATTCCGTCTCTGCATTTTCTTCTTTCATGATGGATGCTATTGCTGTAGAAATCAGTTTTTTAGTACCATCATGTACAACAGCATATTTGCCTGTTATCAATTCCAATAGTACCATTCCGAAGGCAAATACATCGACCTTGGGAGTGATCGGATCTGTCTCTAGATACTCGGGCGCCATGTACCCTTTCGTGCCCATAATCTGCGTTGTCATTTCCTCCTCGTCTTCATCCGTTCCTGATGTTCTTGCAAGACTGAAGTTTGCAAGCTTTGCCCTCATATTGCAATCCAGAAGAATGTGACTGCTTTTTATGTTGCTGTGAGCATATGCTGGTTTAGTAAAGCTGTGAAGATAGAGGAGTCCATTGGCAACATCCAGTGCAATCCGGATTCGCTGATTCCAGCTTTTTGCCTCTTTAGATCCTTTTGTGCTTAGCCATTCTCTGAGAGAACCATTTTTCATGTACTCAAAGACGAGGTATGAGTAGCCATCGTGTTCACAGATGCCGTGAAGTCTTACTATATTGAAGTGATTGATCTTATACAGCATGTTCACTTCAATGCTTGCATTTCCACTTTTCCTTTTAACTGCTAGAACTTCTCCAGCAAAAACTCCACGGTACACAGAGCCCTTTATCCTCGTCTTGGATCCAAAGTTTTGGGTAGCCTTCTTTATTTCGGGGAATTTGAAAACTTTGAGTACACGATCAAAACTTGCAATTTCGACAATCAAGTCTTTAGGAGAAAATGTCATCATATTTTTACTTTCTTGACATGGAAGAATGCATATTTTCCTCTTATGAAATAGAAAGACGAGGATTATAATTAGGACTAGTAGCAGCGAAAAACCTCCTGCAACTATACCGGCTGTTGAAAGAACCCTCTTCGATTTGCTTTTTCGAGCACTGAAACCAGGTAGAGGCGATGTGGAGAGACTGTGATCCCCAGGTGTAGATTGTGAGCTCAAGGGTACACTATGCAGAGGGATTAGAATAGTCGTGAAAGGATAAATTGTTGGATTTTCATCAGAAAATCCATTTGCTTCACTTATTTTCTTCACGCTGACATTGAATCTTTCACTCAAATTAAGCAGATTATCACCCCAGCCCACTGAATATGTCAGCAGATACTTGGATCCATCTGCCGTTTGACCCCTGCTCGGACAGGCACATCGTAGTGGAACCCGTAACTCCATACCTGGTCCCAAATCAAACTCCCCGTAATTATTTGCATTCTTTAAAGCATCACAGGTTGACAATCCCTGATATGTATTGTTTGCTATTTCAAAGTAGGTTTCATGCGCAGTTGGGATCTGGTACGCCGCGTTGGCTTGATAGTACTGACCCAAACACGAGCAATCAACTGGAATTATGACTTGCTTGTCAGTTGGGAAAACTGTGAAACCTGTAATATTGTTGATTTGTGCAACATCATATTGGTTTGAAGACATGAGAGCTGAGATTAGAGGCACCGAATTGTAAGGATAACGCGCTGTGAAGGTTAGGAACGTCCTGCAAGAATGATTTAGGCCATTGCAGGAGTAAAGAAAAGATTCAGCTGGTGCATCTTCGTCACTGTTGTTACAAGTCATCACTGAATTTCCTGAGTACTTTTGTTGTGCTCTGATAGACGAAGTGAACAAAATGTAAGTTAGGAAAGTGTATAGAATCCAATTCATAACAATTTTCATTTTTGGAAAGCTCTTCAAATGGACGGTATAACTAAGGATTTCGGGGTGCTTATCACTTATAGAAGCTTTTCTGTGCTACAGGAATAAGCGCGTCAAGGATTTTTAAATCAAGTACGATGTACATAATTGACTAGAACAACAAGGATGATGAATTCGCGCCAGAAATTAATTCAAGTTCAGACAAAATTCCTTGTATTATAATAAACTTGAAAGAAAACACGAAGTTAAGACAATGGTTTGAGACATTCTATATAGTTTGTAGGAGATTATGTTGTTTCTTTTTTGGACACAGGAATATTGAGGCCCTCACCCCACCCCACCCCACATGGATGATTCTTAAATTAGTTCATTAAACATCTTATTGCCCGTGAATCAACTGTTTTTTGATCAATGGTCAAGATTCAAGAAGTTAGGTGCTATATGTAGTCATGAATATCCGACAGGATCTTCAACTGGGCCATTTCGTGGTTGAAGTAGACGGCAAATTCCTTGCAAAGTAAACCTGATTTCAGAGGGAGATGATTTGAAGAGTCTATGACTCCTATGGAAAATATTTAAACTTGTGGTGGGGGAAAAGAAATGTCCTCTAGGGAGGTTTCAAGAAACTATTAAAGTTCACACGTTGTGTCCTTACTTGATAAAACTGTTAAATTTTCGTCGATGTTTAGCAAATGTTGTTATTGATGCTAAGATTTGACCAGTTTACCTTCAAAACTCTCTTTCGATTGACTCGATCTTCTTGGATTTGATTCTGTTCCATCATATTTGTCAAAATTACTATACAACTCAATTGATCAAATCTTTTGCCTATAATGGCTTATTTGAAGCTTATTTTCATCAATTACTATATTTTCCTAAAATGGTTAAAAAAAGAGAAGAATAATTATATTCGCACTACATTTTTTCTATTTACACAATATTTTAATTTATTTGTAAAAAAAGTTCTCATTTTTTACTTAAAAAAAAAGTTAATATATATTATTAACGATTTAGCTTTGTGGATTAGTGGTAAAAGTCGTGACTTGTGGCTTAGTTCCTTATTGACTCATGCATCAAATAACCACTAATATGTGTATAATACGTAGGACGACTGTCATAGTGTGCGACTGCAAATAGCATTACTCTAAACTTTTTCTTTCTTCGAAAAAATTTCACAATCAGTCCTTAACTTTAGAACCTAAACTTACGCATCCTCCTCAACCTTTACTTCTATTTGCATGGTTTGTCATTTTCACATAACTCCGTCAAGCAAATTATACGTACATGAATAAATATGACCGTTTCTCCTACCAAGGGTGATATAGTCAAAAATTGCATCACAAAGCCATGTAAGGGCATCAAATGAATAGACCACTTATTTCTTTAGTTTAAAACAACACTTAAAATCTTCTATTCCTGCTTTTTTTTTCGATTTTTTCGGTGATGTGTAATCAAACCTTAATTATTTTAAATAACTATCAATGTGCGCAGAAAATGAAATTCGAAAAATTAAGGGGTTGTTCTCTTTTTATTTTAATTTTGTGTTGTGAGTTTTGAATTCATTTTGAGTTTTGTATTTTCAGTGTCCATTTTGAAATTGTTAAAAATATGTTCTTTTTGATATTTTAAAAAATTATTTTGAAAACATTCAAAACGCCTTTCGAAAATTTTGACTTGATTATAACAAAAAATACTCAAAACGACTAATTGTCATTTTGTGTTTTCTTTGTAAATTTTTAATTTGTTTTCAAAATCATATTTTCGAAAATAGGAAAGAGAACGCGTTTTCACTATTTTTGACTCCACAGTTTTAGTGGTGAACTAGTTAGTTTGACGATACTACAAGTAACATCTCACTAATAGGGTGTAAGAAAAGCGAATGGCTTCCAGTGCTTTCTAGACAACCCTCACGAATTTCCCTCCATAGAAACTAGAAAGGTAGCCATCCATTTGGGATCAAGATTGGCATCAAGAGAAGTGGGAATTTGTTTGAATCTCATTAACAACGTGCAGACTCGTATGAAGAGTTGAAGACACGACTCACAATATCATTCGCATGAACCAGCTAAACGCCATTTTCTATTACTATATACCAATTGGAAATAATACTTTTAAAGTGGACCAAGACAACGTGATAATCATAATCCCCGTGACCGACTGAGTCTTCTCGATAGCTTAATCATTTGCAGGCTGAATCTTAAGAGTATTTGAACCAGTCAGTCAGTCACCTGTAGTGATTTTCTTGAACCAAAAATTCAGTAATTGCTCGACTTCTGGAAGGAGAATTAGTCAAAATCTTGTTGATATTAGAAGCTTTTTTTCCGAATAGTCCAAGGGAGTCTTGTAACAATAAGACCACCAAACCTCGAAACTTTATGCTCAAAGCTGAACCCACTGATTTAATTTGTACTCATTCAATGCTAGTTTTGACTCACTGCTTTGTACTCATTCAATGCAGGTTTTCATTGAAGGATGGGAATGAGAAAACAAAATTAGAATTAGAATATACACAAATTTACTGGAGGATTAATTTAACGGGTAAATATTAGTCGAGTATTGTCAATCCTAAATACCGTGTACGATACAAATTATTCATACGTGTATTATATATATGGTGTAATAAATGAACCCTTAGTAGTTCGAACACAATGTCTTGAGTAATTTCTCGAATTTTCATTTATATACAACACGTCAATCTTTTCGTTCCTTTTTTCTCGAGGATTTGAAGAATATTTTGTATTTTGTTCTGTGGATTATGGGAATTTATTAAATTCCGTACTTTCTGATTGTGTTTGGACGAATTTTCAAAGATTGCCATGCATCTCAATGAATTTTTCAAATTTATTTTGGTAATCTTTTTCAATGATTTGATTCGTTTGAACGAACTTTATTTATCAAGAAAGCTAGTGACTAATTAAGAACAGGTTAAACTCTTTCTTAGGCCTTTTTCCGAAAACTAAATGGAAAAAAAACATTATACAGAACAATTACAACTTAGGAAATTGCGGTTCTATTTCGAATTTGAATGGAATTTGCTAAAGAATTCGTTAAATGTTTGGAAAAAAACCTGCATCAAGGCGTACAAAATTAAGCTAATTAGCCATCATCTTATGAAATTCGTAAAAATCCAGCACTCCATTGCCATCAAGATCAAAAACTCTAATCATAGCCTCGCATTCTTGATACGATTTGGCGTTTCCAAGGCGGCGAAAAACCTGGCGCAGCCCCTCTGCCGTGATGCACCCGGAACCCTTTTCAACCTCGAACACCTCGAAAGCCTTCCTAAGAATATTATCATCATTTTCCATTAATCCCACAAACTCTTCAAACTCCAACAAATTGTCGCCATTTTTGTCGAATTCTTGTACGATTTTCTGAGCCTCGTCGTGTGTTATGGATTCACCAATGGACGTGAAATATGCCATCAGTTCATCCACTGAAATCCTGCCATCGTTGTCATTGTCGAAGTAAGAGAAAACTTGTCTGGTTTCATCTTCTTTGGCGGTGGTTTTTGGCGTTTGCATGGCGGGAAAATGGCCTGAGCCACCACTTCCACCGTGGGCGGTGGTTGGTGATTGAGGTATGGAAGGAGGGCTTGGAGTTTTGGGTTTTGAAACAAAACGGAGCTTGAAGGACTTTGCAATTCTTGCTGCCATTGGAGAATTAAACTCAGTTGTGAATAAAACAGCGCCTGTTTTAGAGGTTTATATAGAAAAACAGAAATAATCTGCAAATAAAATCCGTTCAAAAAAAGGAAAAAAAATAATAATAATAATGCTACTTGCAGTCGCTCACTGCAACAGTCGCCATATGTGGCACACACATGTCAAGTGTGTATTTGATGCATTAAATGTGGTAAAAAAATATCACATTAATGCATCAAATAACTGCATGTTATGTGTGTGCCACATAGAGCGACTGCTGCAGTG